CGCTTTCCCGGCGAGAGCGTTTCCAGGACTCGCGACCCTCCGAGAGGATTCGGAAGGAGGGGAACGTTCGCTCGCAAGTCCCGGAGTGGCCCCCCCTGCCCAAGCCCTGACCGCCGACCCCGAGAGCTGTGGTTATTCTGTTCACCTCTGTTGTTCACTCTAAGAGCTTGTGAATTCGGATAAACCTGTTGGACCGTGACCTTCGCGCAGCTCCCCCCTCCCTCCCCAGTCCAACACCGGCTCCTCCACATCTGGAGTAAATCCCGAGTAGTCCACACGCTGCTCCAGATGTTGCCCCATATCCCTGAAACTCCTTTTGTCTTTGCCTTTTGTTTAATTCCCATTTTGTGGTAGACAACACAAGCTCCCCTTGCGACCCCCCCGACCCACCCTGATAGCTCCCTGATAGCTGCCCAGTAACCTGTCACCATTCCTGTGCTCGCGCAGCCAAATCCCTCTGCATCCCAGAGCCAGCACCGATGAGACCCGTGCTGTCTGGGCCCTCCTTCCGAAATAACCCGATTTTTCCCCGCGGCGCACACCTGATTGGCCTCCCCTTCAGCTCGACCGCGTAACCTACCCGTAGGCTTTACGTAACCTTCGTCGTTTGCCCTGTCCGTAACTTGCGGGTTGCAGAACCTGGGTCGCACTTCTCCCAGACCAGCCCTTGAGCCACATGCCCGCCTCTTGCTAACACGCTAACTTGCTCCTGTCCCTGTTCGCGGGTGGGTCAGGGAACAGTGCAGGCCCCTTTGGTGTCAGTACCGCGAACCGGGACCCAATCCCCTCCTCCCGAGTCCTCTCGGAGGGTCGCGAGTCCTGGAAACGCTCTCGCCGGGAAAGCGGAGCCCCCCCAGAACGCGTCTCCAAGACCCGAGATCGACCGATTGATCGAACTCCACTGAGGAGTCTCCATGCTTCATCAGGAAGACACGCAGGGACGCAAGCTATTTTTGAAAAAGCACGAGGCGAGGGGTTTGGATCTGATCGAAACTTGCAGGACACTGGGGTGGTCCAGGGCAGAGTGGACGTGGAGACAACGTTTCCGACTGCAGGAGAGACGAGGTCGCGAAGGGGCGCAGCCCTCGGTGGGGTGAAGGGATGACCCTTCAGAACGTTTTGGAAAGCTAATTGCTTTCCTTACCCAGTCCAGGCTACACGTCACTTCAGATCCACAGCCGTGAGCTGATGGCATACGTGGTCTCCACAACGGGACCACGAAGACGAAACGCAGACTGGGCAAGCAATTTGCGGAACACCTACGTTCTGTCCACGCCAATGACCTCGAGCTCCCAGTTGCCTACCACTTTGGTACACCATTGTGTTCAAAGAACAAGAACAAAGAAAATTACAGCACAGGAACAGGCCCTTCGGCCCTCCAAGCCTGCGCCCATCCAGATCCTCTATCTAAACCTATTTTCCAAGGATCTGTATCCCTCTGCTCCCTGCCCATTCATGTATCTGTCTAGATACATCTTAAATGACGCTATCGTGCCCGCCTCTATCACCTCCGCTGGCAACGCGTTCCGGGCACCCACCACCCTCTGCGTAAAGAACTTTCCATGCATATCTCCCTTAAACTTTTCCCCTCTCACCTTGAAATCGTGACCCCTAGTAATTGAGTCCCCCACTCTGGGGAAAAAGCTTCTTGCTATCCACCCTGTCTATACCCCTCATGATTTTGTAGACCTCAATCAGGTCCCCCCTCAACCTCTGTCTTTCTAATGTAAATAATCCTAATCTACTCAACCTCTCTTCGTAGCTAGCACCCTCCATACTAGGCAATATCCTGGTGAACCTCCTCTGCACCCTCTCTAAAGCATCCACATCCTTTTGGTAATGTGGCGACCAGAACTGTACGCAATATTCCAAATGTGGTTGAACCAAAGTCCTCTACAACTGTAGCATGACCTGCCAACTCTTGTACTCAATACCCCGTCCGATGAATGAAACCATGCCGTATGCCTTCTTGACCACTCTATCCATCTGCGTTGCCACCTTCAGGGTACAACGGACCTGAACAGCCAGATCTCTCTGTGCATCAATTTTCCCCAGGGCTTTTCCATTTACTGTATAGTTCGCTCTATGTTCCCTGGCCACCTTCTTCTGTCTTGGGCTGGCTCTGGTGTCTAAGGTTTTGGCGTAGATTTGTAGCTCGGGTTGTGGGTGTTGAGGTTGGTTGGCTCGCGGAGCTGGTTTGTTATTTCGCAGACGTTTCGTTACCATACTGGGTAACGTCATCAGCGCAGCCTCCGATGAAGTCAGAGTGTTTTCCCGCCTGGTTTTTAAACTCTGGGGTCCATTGAGCTGGATTGCCTCACTTCCGGTTTTCCTTCGTAGTGGAGTATATATGGGGTCGAGTTCTATGTGTTTGTTGATGGCTTTCTTCGTGGAGTACGAGGCTTTAGGAATTCCCTTGCCTGTCTCTGCCTAGCTTGTCCCAGGATTTTGGTGTTGCCCCAGTGGAATTGGTGGTTCTCCTTGTCCATGTGGATTGAGATGAGTGAGTATTGGTCGTGTCTTTTTGTAGCCAGTTGGTGTTCGTGTACCCTTGTGGTTAGTTTCCTTCCTGTTTGTCCGATGTAGTGTTTCTTGCAGTCTCTGCAGGAGATCTTGTAGATGACATTGGTCCTGTCCATGGCGGGGAGTGGGTCTTTAGTTCGGGTGAGCACCGACTGATGTGGGCTTGTGTGCCACTCTGATGCCCAGCGGTCGTAGAAGTCTTGTGGTTAGTTCCAATGTGTTCATGATGTAGGGTAGTGTGATGAGTGTGTCAGGGCGTGTAGTATCTTCTTGATGTTGTTCGTGTAGGCATCTTCTGACTCAGTTTTTTGGATATCCATTATCCTTGACAACCTGGAAGAGGTATTCTTCTTCCTCTTGGTTTAGTGCTCCGGCGAGGCTCAGTGCAAGCTGGAAGAACAGCTCGTCTATTGCTCAGCCTTCGAGACTTGGTGTCGCGTTCAGTAATTTCAAGAGAGTGAACATCTTCTTCCATGTCCTTTACCCACCAATTCCCCCCACCCACCCATACCCAGGTCCCGTCGTGACATTTCAGCCCTTGAGCCCCACGTCCGTCTCTCGCTCCCCTCTAATTTGTTCCTGTTTATCGTGTCCAGTTCTGGTCGCCTCATTACAGGAAAGATGTGGAAGTGTTGGGAAAGGTGCAGAGGGGATTTATCAGGATGTTGCCTGGAATGGAGAGAAGGTCTTAGGAGGAAAGATTGAGAGAGCTAGGGCTTTTCTCTTTAGAATGATGAAGGATGAGAGGTGACTTGATAGAGGTGTACAAAATGATCAGAGGTATAGATAGAGTGGACAGCCAGAGACTTTTTCCTGGGGTGGAGGTAGCTATGACGAGGGGGCGTAGTTTTAAAGCGAGTGGAGGTAGATATAGGGGAGACGTCAGAGGTAGGTTCTTTACTCAGAGAGTGGTCGGGGCGTGGAATGCATTGCTGGGAGAGGGTGGTGGAGTCGGCCTCATTAGGGGCATTTAAGCGGCTATTAGATAGGCATATGGATGATAGTATAAGGTAGGGGTGGAGGTTAGATAGACCTTAGGTTTAGGGTAAAAGTTCGGCACAACATCGTGGGCCTAAGGGCCTGTACTGTGCAGTACTGTTCTATGTGGCCTATTCGCGGGTGGGTCAGCGGACAGTACGGCGCAGGGACAGGCCCTTCGGCCTGTCACGTCTGCCCCGATGTTCTGAGCTAGTCCCACCTGCCCGCGCATGGTACATGTCCCTCTGTTTCCTGCCTGTGCGTGCGTCTGTCTGAGCTCCTCTGAAACGTTGCTGTCGTACCGCCCCTCTGGTAACACCTTCCGGGCACCTGTAGCTACCCCCTGTGTAGAAAAAAAACTCGCCTCCCACATCCCCTTGAAACATCCCCAATCCCTCACCTTATACCTGTGCCCCTTAGCAATTGACGTTTCCACCCTCTGGGAAGCAAGATTCCAACTATCCACCCTGTCCGTGCATCTCGGAATTTTATGTACTCCGAGCAGGTCGCCCCACCCGCCACCTCGACCTTCCGATGCTCCGGTGAAAACGGCCCAAGTCTGTCCAACCTCTCTTTCTAGCTAAGATGCTCCGATCCAGGCAGTACATCCTGGTAAACCTCTTCTGCGGCCTCTCCAGAGCCTCCCTCGTCGTTCCTGTGGCGCGGTGACCGGAGCCGTGCACCGTAGTCCAAACTTGGCCCGGCCAAAGTGTTACCCAGCTGCGCCAAGGCTTGTGCCCCGACCCCGATGAAGGAAGTTGGGGGGGTAACGTGGGGGTGGTGGGGAGCGTGCTGTACGCCTCCTTTATCCACTTGTGTCGTCGCTTTCAGGGAGCCGCGGGCACGCATCCCAAGGTTCCTCTGTATCCCGGTGCTCCTAAGCTGTTAGCAGATGACCTCCCACAATGCATCACCTCACACTTGTCCGGATTAAATTCCATCCCTGCCCAGCTTCCCAGCTGATCTGTCGTAGATTTGAGGGTTTTTTTTCCCTCATTCATTCACGGGATGAGGGGCGTCACTGGCTAAGGGCAGCATTTATTGCCCCATCCCTAATTGCCCAGAGGGCAGCTCAGAGTCAACCCCATGGGCCTGGAGTCGCATGTAGGCCAGACTGGGTAAGGATGGCAGCTTCCTTCTCTAAAGGGACGTTAGTGAACCAGATGGGTTTTTCCGACAGTGGATTCACAGTCATCATTTAGACCCTTAATTCCAGATATTTTTATTGAATAGAAATCCCACCTTCTGCCACGGTGGGATTCGAACCCAGGTCCCCAGAACGTTTGTCTGGTAATACTACTAGGTCATCGCCTCCCCCTTGGTCTCCCACATTTGGCGCGCGGCCTGTCGCACTGACGATCTGGAATCTCCTCGTGCCTCCTGGTTACCTTGCGATCCGTCTGTATGGGTTGTGACTGCCTGTGGGTATGTGCCCCCCTCCACCACCACCTCTCTCTCTGACACAGCGCGGGGTACGGGATCACAGCCTCCAGCTCGGGGGCCAAAACCAGCTGGGCTCTACAGGGGAGGTGCCACGGGCCTACACTTTCCCCAAAAACCGCAGCCTCCAAGCAGTCCCACTTACTGCAGCTGTGACTCCTCCCCAGTCCGGCTGTCCTTCGTGTCCTGAGGAACTGCTTAATTGTTGTACTGTGTTTTCTTTTTTGTTATGTTTCGTTAAGCTCACCACCGGCTGTGGTCGTATTTTGAAACTCGAGAACAGGGACGCCTGCCCGATACTTCGCAATTAGCAGGGTTTTTTTTGTCTCTCTGCTGCAGCAGAGTTAGAATCAACTCCCTAGTGCTGAAAAGCATCAGGCAAAAGCAACTGAGCATCCCTTCCCCTTCCTCTGTTGAACCCTACAGGTCCCTTCCTCCGTTTAACTCCCCGCGTCCCTTCCTACGTATAGCTCCCCAAGTTCCTTCGCTCCAGCGTTCTGTTGGAAGTGGCGTTCGAGGCTCCGAGGTGCACTAACTTGGCTAGTTCTGCGCGCTCCTCATGCAAAAGGAGCTGACTTGCGGCTCCTTGTTTCACTGGAACCCTGACGACGACGACGAGAAAAAAAAAGAAACAAAACACGCTTCGGGCCACGACCCTAGCTGGAAAGTCAACCACCAGTTCCAAACCGAGGCGACAGGTCACGGGACGAGAGCGCATCAGGTGGCAAGGGGGTGAAGTGGGGGTTAAGTGCGATGTGGGCTTCCTTGAGTACAGGTTTGGGGGGGGGGTGGGTAGGGGGGAAGGGGGAGGGGGTGGTGGTGGGGGTGTTCCTGGGGGTGTCCCACGTTTCTTCCCTTGTCGAGTCTGGCGATCCCGAACAGTCCATGCTTCGGAGACCGGCTCAGGGACGCCACCCCCCGCCAAATCCCCTTGGGGGCGGGTGGAGAGACCCCTGGACGTTCGCATTTCTCACCCTCACCCTCTGCCTTGCAGTTCGCGGAGATCATCACCAAGATGGGAGACTACATCGGGAAGCAGCGGAAGTCTTCGGAAGGTAAGGACGTGCCTTCCTGCCCGGGTCGCAGCTCTGTCATCCAGGCCGACACTCCCTCCCTTCCCCCCCCCCCCCCCCAATCCATCCCCAGTGCCAGTACTGAGGGAGCGCTGCGCTGTCGGAGGGAGACTGACAAACTCTTAGGGACTTGAGCTCCATACTCCAGGCCGACATTCCCAACAGGGTAGATCGGATAAACAAACGAGCGATGAAGGAATAAAAGGGAAAGGGAGAGAGAGAGAGAGAGGGGCAAAGACCGGGTGGGAGTCAGTAACGCGAGCATTGTGATGTTGGGCCGAATGGTCAATTGCTGTTCGTTCACTGAGGTTCCACAGGGGACATAGCTTTGAGGGGTGATAGTTATAGGACAGATGTCAGAGGTAGGTTCTTTACTCAGAGAGTAGTAAGGACGTGGAATGCCCTGCCTGCAAAAGTAGTAGACTTGCCAACTTTAAGGGCATTTAAATGGTCATTGGATAAACATATGGATGATAATGAAATAGTTTAGGTTAGATGGGCTTCAGATTGGTTTCACAGGTTGGCGCAACATCGAGGGCCGAAGGGCCTGTACTGCGCTGTAATGTTCTATGTTCTATGTTCTGAGCTCTTCGCTCCCTCTCACCTTACCCATCTCTTTACCCAGTGACAGGACCCGTGGAATCCGATCCTGAATACAAACTCATCGTCGATGCAAACAACCTGACAGTGGAGATTGACAATGAGATCAGTGAGTGAAACATTTTCTGGTGTTTGTCACCTTGTTCAGGGAGAGGGTGGGAGGATCCAGGCGTATGGTCAGCTCCAAGTAACATTGTTGGAAGTTGCAAAAGGCTCGGTTCGACCCGCACTCAGAGCACCGTGCGCAGTTCCCCGGTCTCCGTATCAACCGTCCATCCTCGGTTAGACCCGCACTCGGAGCACCATGCGCAGTTCCCTGGTCTCCTTATCCCCCCCTCGGTTAGGCCCGCACTCAGAGCACCGTGCACAGTTCCCCGGTCTCCGTATCAAACACCCATCCTCGGTTAGACCCGCACTCGGAGCACCGTGTGCAGTTCCCTGGTCTCCGTATCAACCGCCCACCCTTGTTTAGACCCGCACTCGGACACCGTGCACAGTTCCCCGGTCTCCGTACTCCCCCCCTCGGTTAGACCTGCACTCGGAGCACTGTACCCCCTCAGTTAAACAGGATGGGAGACGGGGCCTGTGAGTCTGTAATGATGCCAGTTACAGTACCTTGCAGTCCCCTGCTGTCTGAATGGGGTCAGATGTTCCCAGGAGGACAGTTTAATGAAGTGTGTTCCCTTGTTTTCGCTTCCTCAGATATCATTCACAAATATGTCAGAGATAAATACTCGAAGCGGTTTCCAGAGCTGGAATCACTGGTTCCCAATGCACTGGACTATATCCGGACTGTGAAGGTGAGGCTACCAGATTTGTTCGTAAACATCTGTCTTCTCTCCAGTCCCCCAGTTACAACCCTGGCTATTTCTCATTTATTATCAACCCTCTGCTCCTGCCTCCTCCAACCTCCTCCAATCCTCACCCTCCTGTTCAAATCCCCTCCCTCCCTATCTCCGTCACCTCCTCCAGCCCCCTACAATCCTCACCCTCATGTTCAAATCACTCCCTCCCTATCTCC